TCGTCCAGGTACCTGTGTGCTGTCGTTTTGTCGCACACAACACCGGCACAACCACTATGAGGTATCGGTACTACGTCTAGGTTGTGTACGTATGCGAAGAATTTCCAAAGGATACTACGAAAATGAACGTGGGAAAGCATGTACGTGATGGAGTGGTGTGAGCCACCCTAGCTATCACACCTGTTTTACACCCCTTCACGCCCTTTGTAGGTGGGCGCCTCCTTTGAGCGCACTACATCACTCGGGCGACATTGTTATCACACCCCCGTAGGTAGGGTCCTGTGAGCGCACTGCGACCACACGGGCTACATTATCACACCCCCGGCAGGCCGGGTCCTGTGAGCGCGTACCATCACACGGGTGAAGTTATCACACCCCCTGTAGTAGTGCTGCGTGTAGAAAACCAACAAGGGAAATATATGTGAAGCAAGGCCTCCAACGGGAACGTGTACCCCCCCCTGGAGACCCCGCCAAGCACGCGGCGAGATCCGCGCAGTGCTCACCGCACATCAGCGTCGACAGAGAGCGAGGTGTTCGTGTGTGCATGAGCTATAGCGTGTTGGGTGGGGGTCCTTTCAAAGTTCCCAAGGCTCCTGAATTTAACGGTACTGATGTATCGTATCCTTCGTGGTCGCAGAATCTGAGATTGACATTCCGATTGCTGACGTTAACTTCGATCTGACCCCTTGGATAGAGAAGGGATACAGTGTGGGTGTGCTGCGTCAGAATGAGATGGCTTGGTGGTTTCTGTTTGACTGCTTGAAGAAAGACAGCCTGAAAAACATGGCTAGACATGCTGGTTCCCCCTTCAAGGCATTCCGTGCGCTCAAGGATCACTTTCTACCGTTGAGCCAAAGCCAGATTCGAGTGCAGGAAGAAAAACTGAAGTCACTACGCATGCGTTTCAAACGAAAATCCCGCAACCTTCTTTGCATCCATCAGAGAGACGCTTGGTGTGCTGCAGATGCTTGAAGTAAAGAAGAATGACAGATGGGATTGGTGGCGTGTCTGGTGAGGTAGAATTATCTGGAACGCTGGAGTTGGTGTTTGTGACTGCTGACAGTGAATTTTCCGTGGAGTTGAAGAACGTGTTGTACTCTCCAAACTTAGGGTATAATCTCTTTTCTCCGAGTGCAGAGTTTGATGGCGAGTCATGGAATGGTCTTGGTGGTCCTGATGGTGTGATGACTGCTTTCAATGGACAAGTAACCTTTCAGAACTTCGATGGCATGCTGATTGCGTCTGCGTATCGTCTAGGAGAAGCCTCTGTTGGCACGGTGTTGGCTGCTCTCACTCCCGCAAACCCCAAGCAAGAAACCACGATGGATATCAACGAGTTCCACAACATTTACGCTCATTTGCACGAGGGTTTGCTTCGCACTACTGCAAAGCGACTAGGTACCAAGTTGGTTGGTGACATGCATGCTTGTTCAGGGTGTTCGATGTCAAAGGCTATTCGAAAAGGAATCGTTAGAGAAACTAAACGTAGATCGGATAACAAGTTAGGCAGAGTTTTTGTCGACCTGGGAGGAAGGAAGGACATTCATTGCGTCCGTAGGGGGTAAACATTATCCCATGATTGTGAAGGATGATTTCACGAGACGTACATGGATGTATTTCCTGAGAATTACATCAGACGCTCGCAGTGCATTCCGGACTTTTCTTGCGAGTGTGCGTGCTAATGGTGTCCCGTCATTCGTTGAGATTGTTAGATCTGACAACGGAGGGGAGTTTTTCGGGGGGGAGTTTGCATCTGTGTGCAATGAGCTCTTGATCAAACAAGAGTTCACACCGGCTTATAGTCCGCAATATAATGGTGTTGCAGAGCGTGGGCTGGGATTGATAGAAGAGGCCGCGATGGCGGCTCGTATTCAGGCTAAAGTTCTTTTTGGGCATGTGCAGTTACCTGAGACTGATAAACTCTGGGCTGAGGCTATGCACTGGGCTTGCGAAGCGATGAATCACACCGCGTGTTCTGCTAACCCCGACTGTATGTCGCCGTAAGGCTCAAGGAAGTAGAAGTCTGATTTTTTGTTTGTTTGTTTTGCTTTCATACATGCGAAGTAAACGTATTTGGTCTGGTAGATACAAAAGCCCCCTAGGGAGGGTGTTCGTGGTAGCGGCCTTATGTATCGCCTGAGCTGCGGTAGAACATCTGATTGGATATTTTT